TGGAGGTGGTGTGGTGAGTGGTGGTGGGAGTGGTGGAGGTGGTGTGTGGTGGAGGTGGTGTGTAGTGAGTGGTGGAGGTGGTGTGTGTAGTGAGTGGTGGGAGGTGGTGTGTGTGGTGAGTGGTGGTGAGTGGTGGAGGTGGTGTGTGGTGAGTGGTGGGAGGTGGTGGTGAGTGGTGGAGGTGGTGTGTAGTGAGTGGTGGAGGTGGTGTGGTGAGTGGTGGGAGGTGGTGTGTAGTGAGTGGTGGAGGTGGTGTGTAGTGAGTGGTGGAGGTGATGTGTGTAGTGAGTGGTGGAGGTGGTGTATAGTGAGTGGTGGAGGTGGTGTGTGGTGAGTGGTGGAGGTGGTGTGTAGTGAGTGGTGGAGGTGGTGTGTGGTGAGTGGTGAGGTGATGTGTGTGTGGGTGAGGGTGGAGGGTGTGTGGTGAGTGGTGGGAGGTGGGTGGTGAGTGGTGGAGGTGGTGAGTGGTGGAGGTGTGTGGTGAGGGTGGGAGGGGTGATGAGGGTGGGAGGTGTGTGGTGTGAGTGGTGGAGGTGGTGTAGTGAGGGTGGAGGTGGTGGGAGTGGTGAGTGGTGGAGGTGGTGTGTAGTGAGGGTGAGGGTGGAGGTGGTGTAGTGAGAGGTGGTGTGTGTAGTGAGTGGTGGGAGGTGGTGGAGGTGGTGAGTGGTGGAGGTGGTGTGTAGTGAGTGGTGGAAGTGGTGTGTAGGAGAGAGAGGTAAGGTCCTCCTCCCTGGATAAGCTACTTAACTCAGGTAATCCACTCATTGTTAACCTTACCTCTGTTGTTACCTCTGATTATTATAACGTAACCCAGATTAACTTTTTTAACAAGGACTTTTCTTGTTTTGAATGATAAAACACACACACACACACACACACACACACATTGCCACTACATTCACCACTTAATTGCCTGTCAGGAGAGGTATGACGCAAACTACCAGCCACTACAACAATTCATTACATCTCGAACTGACACATTATTGACAGTCATGAGTATCGAGTGAGTTATTATACTGTACCTTAAAGTGACAGCGAGCCTTCACACTTTGTCTCACGTGAAAACAATATTATTATTCTTTAATTTGGTTGATAGACAGACAGACAGACAGACAGACAGACAGACAGACAGACACAGAAACGCAATTTTTCGTATTCACTGTCAGTTTGATCTATCACCAATTGAGAGTCAGGAAAATTTACCACTAAAAGGTTTGCATAGGAGATCCTGTACGCTAAGTGGAGGTATAGGTTGCGAGAGGACTATTTTGTCTTTCCACTCAGCCGGCCGAGGGTTGGTGCACTCAGTTACTCCGTGGCACTGTTACTCACCCCCTGGGACTGTTACTCACACTCTGGGACTGTTACTCACCCTCTGGTACTGTTACTCACCCTCTGGTACTGTTACTCACCTCTGGTACTGTTTCACCTCTGGGACTGTTACTCACACTCTGGGACTGTTACTCACCCTCTGGTACTGTTACTCACCCTCTGGTACTGTTACTCACCTCTGGTACTGTTACTCACCCCTCTGGTACTGTTACTCACCCTCTGGGACTGTTACTCACCCCTGGTACAGTTATCACCTCTGGTACTGTTACTCACCCTCTGGTACTGTTACTCACCTCTGGTACTGTTACTCACCCTCTGGTATTACTCACCCTCTGGTACTGTTACTCACCCTCTGGTACTGTTACTGCGCCCTGGGACTGTTACTCACCCCTGACCACTGTTACTCACCCCTTGACCATGTTATTCACCCTCTTGCACTGTTACTCACCCTGGCACTGTTACTCACTCCTTGGCACTGACTCATTCCTGCGCTACTCCCCTGTCACTGTTTCTCAGCACTGTTATTTACCGCTGGCACTGTTACTCACCCCTGGGACTGTTACTCACCCTCTGGACTGTTACTCACCCTCTGGGACTGTTACTCACCCTGGACTGTTACTCACCCTCTGGTACTGTTACTCACCCTCTGGGACTGTTATCACCCTCTGGGACTGTTACTCACCCTCTGTACTGTTACTCACCTCTGGCACTGCACACCCCTGGGACTGTTACTCACCCCTCTGGTACTGTTACTCACCCTCTGGTACTGTTACTCACCCTGGTACTGTTACTCACCCTCTGGGACTGTTACTCACACTCTGGGACTGTTACTCACCCTCTGGTACTGTTCTCACCCTCTGGGACTGTTACTCACCCCTGGTACTGTTATCACCCTCTGGCACTGTTACTCACCCCTGGGACTGTTACTCACCTCTGGTACTGTTACTCACCCTCTGGTACTGTTACTCACCCTCTGGTACTGTTACTCACCCTCTGGTACTGTTACTCACCCTCTGGGACTGTTACTCACCCTCTGGTACTGTTACTCACCCTCTGGTACTGTTACTCACCCTCTGGTACTGTTACTCACCCTCTGGTACTGTTACTCACCCTCTGGTACTGTTACTCACCCTCTGGTACTACTCACCCTCTGGGACTGTTACTACACCTGGTACTGTTATCACCTCTGGGACTGTTACTCACACTCTGGTACTTTACTCACACTCTGGTACTGTTACCACCTCTGACTGTTACTCACCCTCTGGTACTGTTACTCACCCTCTGGTACTGTTACTCACCCTCTGGTACTGTTATCACCTCTGGATGTTACTCACACTCTGGTGTTACTGCGCCCGACTGTTTCGCCTGACCACTGTTACTCACCCCTTGACCACTGTTATTCACTCCTCTGCACTGTTACTCACCCTGGACTGTTACCACTCTCTGGTACTGTTACTCACTCCTGGCATCCACCTCTGGACTGTTACTCACCCTCTGGTACTGTTACTCACCCTCTGGTACTGTTACTCGCGCCCTGGGACTGTTACTCACCCTGACCACTGTTACTCACCCTTGACCACTGTTATTCACTCCTCTGCACTGTTACTCACCCTGGCACTGTTACTCACTCTGGTACTGTTACTCACTCCCTGGTACTGTTACTCACCCTCTACTGTTACTCACCTCTGTACTGTTACTCACCCCTGACCACTGTTACTCACCCCTGACCACTGTTATTCACCTCTACTGTTACTCACTCCTGGCACTGTTACTCACTCCCTGGCACTGATACTCATTCCTGGCGCGTTATCACCCTGTCACTGTTACTCACCCCTGAGCACTATTACCACTCCCCTGGTACTGTTACTCACCCCTGGCACTGTTACCATTCCTGGTACTATTTACTCGCTGGCACTGTTATTCACCCTGGGGCCACACGTTCACTGATAAGGTCATCAATATTCAGTCTACTTCGGCTCACAGCACTGGGTACACACACACACACACACACACACACACACACACACACACACACACACACACACACCAATATGCATACCGGTAATTTTGAAATATAACCAATTCCACAAAAAAGTAACATATATATATATTATCAACAACACAAGTAGATGAATCATTCAAACTGACCCTCGGCCTTCGGGGCTTTATACATCGAATATTAAGAAGCCATGAAGGTCCCTGAGCCATTCAGTGACCTGCCTCACCACAGAACCCTTCATGGAATATATGGTGATCAAAACAGAGTTGATTATACTGTGAGTCAGGCTGGTAGGGAGGTAGGGGGAGGGGAGGGGAGAGGAGGGGAGGCATTTGGCATCTGGTTAACATAATTCCTATACGGGTTTTATGAGTACAGGGTTGTGATGTGTTGGAGTGTGGGGTCGTAAGGTGAGCTTTTTTAGGAATGTGACCTTTTAGCAACCCCACCACTACTACTCACTCACTACCCACCAGCCCACCAGCTCACCACCACTATTCACTCCCTACCAGTCCACCACCTAAACCCACCACGTCCACTGCCCACCCACAGTACCTGATCGCTACCTTAGGGCGTCTCTCTCCCCTTCGCCCGGATTACACCTGGAGCCACTATAGGAGGGAGAGAGAGAGAGAGAGAGAGAGAGAGAGAGAGAGAGAGAGAGAGAGAGAGAGAGAGAGAGAGAGAGAGAGAGATACTGTGAAAGGAAGAAAGACGGAACATAGTGAGAGAGGAAAACACGTGAATCAGACATTTAAGGAAACATGAAATTGGATGAGATGGGGGAGAGAGAGGGAATAGATGAGGGGAACAGGTGAGGGAATAGATGGGGAACAGAGAGGGGGACAAACAGGTGTCTAGATAAAGAGTGACATTGAGGAGGACAGATGAAAGGCTGAGTGAGGGGAAGGTGGGAGGCTGAGTGAGGGGAAGGTGGGGGAGGCTGAGTGAGGGGAAGGTGGGGAGGCTGAGTGAGGGAAGGTGGGGAGGCTGAGTGAGGAAGGTGGGGAGGCTGAGTGAGGGGAAGGTGGGGGCTGAGTGAGGGAAGGTGGGGAGGCTGAGTGAGGGGAAGGTGGGAGGCTGAGTGAGGGGAAGATGGGAGGCTGAGTGAGGGGAAGATGGGGAGGGAAGAGGAGGTATGTGAGGAAGGGGAAACTAAGGGTGGGATTAAGTAATGTAAGGTTAGATTAGGTTAAGCTAGTTTAAAGGTAGTTATAATGAGGTAGATTAAGTTAGGTTAGGTTAGGTTAGGTTAAATTAGTTACAGAAGAGGTGGGTTAGACTAGATCAGGTCGACTTACCTATAGTAGGGTTAGGTTAGGTTAGGTTTGGTTAGGTTAGGTTAGGTTTGGTTAGGTTAGGTTTGGTTAGGTTAGGTTAGGTTAGGTTGTAATAGTTCTTTGAATATATTAATGTTTTATTTGCTTTGCTGTCATTTGTTAATTGTTTTAATACTCTTTTTTAAGTGGTAAGGATTATGTTGAAACAGTTTTATTTGTGATAGGAGAGAGAGAGAGAGAGACAGACAGACAGACAGACAGACAGACAGACAGAGACAGACAGACAGACAGTCAGACAGACAGACAGACAGACAGACAGAGAGACACTGTTCTCTCCTCCGTGACCCGTGTTGGACTGATCTCTCCTCCGTGACCCGTGTTGGACTGACCTCTCCGTGACCCGTGTTGGACTGTTCTCTCCTCCGTGACCCGTGTTGGACTGTTCTCTCCTCCGTGACCCGTGTTGGACTGTTCTCCCTCCGTGACCCGTGTTGGACTGATCTCTCCTCCGTGACCCGTGTTGGACTGTTCTCTCCTCCGTGACCCGTGTTGGACTGATCTCCTCCGTGACCCGTGTTGGACTGACCTCTCCGTGACCCATGTTGGACTATTTCTCTCCTCCGTGACCCGTGTTGGACTGTTCTCTCCTCCGTGACCCGTGTTGGACTGTTCTCTCCTCCGTGACCCGTGTTGGACTGTTCTCTCCTCCGTGACCCGTGTTGGACTGTTCTCTCCTCCGTGACCCGTGTTGGACTGTTCTCTCCTCCGTGACCCGTGTTGGACTGTTCTCTCTCCGTGACCCGTGTTGGACTGTTCTCTCCTCCGTGACCCGTGTTGGACTGTTCTCTCCTCCGTGACCCGTGTTGGACTGTTCTCTCCTCCGTGACCCGTGTTGGACTGTTCTCTCCTCCGTGACCCGTGTTGGACTGTTCTCTCCTCCGTGACCCGTGTTGGACTGATCTCTCCTCCGTGACCCGTGTTGGACTGTTCTCTCCTCCGTGACCCGTGTTGGACTGATCTCTCCTCCGTGACCGTGTTGGACTGATCCTCTCCGTGACCCGTGTTGGACTGTTCTCTCCTCCGTGACCCGTGTTGGACTGTTCTCTCCTCCGTGACCCGTGTTGGACTGTTCTCTCCTCCGTGACCCGTGTTGGACTGTTCTCTCCTCCGTGACCCGTGTTGGACTGTTCTCTCCTCCGTGACCCGTGTTGGACTGTTCTCTCCTCGTGACCGTGTTGGACTGTTCTCTCCTCCGTGACCCGTGTTGGACTGTTCTCTCTCCTCCGTGACCCGTGTTGGACTGTTCTCTCCTCCGTGACCCGTGTTGGACTGTTCTCTCCTCCGTGACCCGTGTTGGACTGTTCTCTCCTCCGTGACCCGTGTTGGACTGTTCTCTCCTCCGTGACCCGTGTTGGACTGATCTCTCCTCCGTGACCCGTGTTGGACTGATCTCTCCTCCGTGACCCGTGTTGGACTGATCTCTCCTCCGTGACCCGTGTTGGACTGCCGTCTCTAGGGAGGGACGGAAGCCAACAAGTTGTCACAACACTTACCGCATCTGCTTATTAAGAAATTAGACTCAATAACCTCTGGCTGTGCGGTGAGTGAGGGCTATTGGCTAGGTTAGGTTAGGTTAATAATAGTAGGGGTAATTTGGGTAAGGTTAAGTAATTAGTTATGCTAGCTGAAGGTTAGGTTAGCTTATGGTAATTAAACTAGGATTATGTTAGGTTAAATTAGGTAAATTATGATAGGAGTGATTTGGATTAGGTTAAGTAATTAGGTTAAGATAGTTATACTAAGATTAGGTTAGGTTAAATCAGGCTAATTAAGTTAGGGACAATATCAGGTAATAATGTTCTTTGATTAGATGTCATGTGAAGTGATGGAGCACGACGTCACTACGCTGTGACATCAACAGGTGGGGGAAGGCTTTGGAGTGTTTTTCAACTGTGTATTTGGTTTTTTTTTGCTGTTGTTGTTTTATTCAATGAAGTTTGTAACAAAAAAAATGACTCTTTGTTGAAAAAGTTATTCCTTTAAAATGGTACGGTACAGTTTATTCTCTGTTGTATCCTTTGAGGTGCATTCATACAAGAGAGAGAGAGAGAGAGAGAGAGAGAGAGAGAGAAAGAGAAAAAGAGAAGAGTAGTTAAATAATGAATAAAAAGGATTCAGTGAAACGCTAATTGTCAGAAAACCAGATTAATTGCTGCTAGAGAAGTCGTCTGTGTGTTCGTTTGTCCATTCGTTCTTACATACATACATACATACATACATACATACAACCTTTTATGCTATTTACAGCCTGGTCTTCCCTACACCTCCAAAAGGGCATTAGAGGTGATCTTTAGAGGTGGAGATAGAAGGAAGGAAGGAGGGAGGAGAAGGAAGGACGGAAGGGAAGGAGGGAGGATAGGGAAGATGATGAGAGGGAGAGAAGGGATGAAGGTAGAGGAGAGGAATGTGAGGAAGAGGAACATGGTGAGGGTGAAGGATTATGAATACCCACACAGGTAGAGGGAGGGCCGCCATAAAGGGTCTCTCGTTAGCCACAGTAGAACGCAGGTAATGTGTTCTGTGTGTGTGTGTGTGTGTGTGTGTGTGTGTGTGTGTGTGTGTGTGTGTGTGTGTGTGTGTGTGTGTGTGTGTGTGTGTGTGTGTGTGTGTGTGTCTATTCAACAAATCATTTTATAGTCGGATAGCTAACATAGCCATGGGTATGACTCTCCACGATCCACACACTCCGGGGTAATGTCCGGCCTTTCATCAAACTACGACTTGTTTACACAGTCCGAAGCATTTTAACCACGCTTCTACAGAGGGTATGTGGATGTGAAATGTTTAATCTTTAAGGCCTGTCAGCACATCCAACTGTTCCTCGACTATGTGTATTCCAAACAATATACAATTCACCTCGGCGTGTGAACAAGACAATCAACTTCCATTCCCCGACACAATCGTAGAACAACCAAACAAATCCTTTACTATTTCCATTTACAGATAATCTACATACACAGGCCTCACTTCTAGGATCAGTTCATGTGTTCCTATACAATACAAAAGAAACTCACTTTCCACTTCAGTATTCTGGGTCTTTCGTATTTGCTCTTGTCCTGCACAAGGAACTAAAATTCATGTACAGGACTCTTATGTCCAATGGTTTTCCCCAAATCTTTATTGACGCTAAAATTGGCAAACAGTTCTCACAGCTTATACTCGTACACCCAAGACCACCGCAGTCACCTAATTCTCTATATTACTTACACTCGAAGGAACAGTTTTGCCAACGTGTACAAGCTCAGCTACTTGTTAGAGTCATTTTCAAACCCTGTAACATAACATAAGGATTCTTTGAGTTTAGAGTTTTGATACCCAGGAAATAACAGTGTACAGATATGCTTATATTACAACAGTAACACTGCTCTCAAGTGTTGGTATGCAGGTGAGGACAATGGTGCTGTTATAGAACAAAAATGCACACGATTCCCGAAAATATGTAAGGTAGTGTATATTTTTTGAGAGACATCCTGTAATGTTTCTCCTCATGAAAAAAAAAAGAACTTTCTCCGGAAATGCTAAACTTAGTGATAGGCGCTCTGTGTATATGTATATATAATGTTTAGGGAGGTAGTAGGCAGCTACCAAACAGGGAGGTACTACCGCCTGGGAAGATATTGGAAGCATAATGTGTTGTCTAATGGTAGACCCTGCTGCCATATGTGACCAAGTCCCAGGTTGCTGATCTGACTTTCTGCCTCATTTACACACAATTGCAGGGTCTCAATTGTTTCTCTTACTATTGACAACACAACATACATACATTCTCATTCTCATTCTTGATTTTTTTTTTTTTCATTTTGCATTTATTATTATTATTATTATTATTATTATTATTATTATTATTATTATTATTATTATTATTATTATTATTATTATTATTATTATTATTATTATTATTATTATTATTATTATTATTATTATATATTATTACGATGTGGTTCAGTGACCTGTGAAGCGGGTGGGCTAATCCCCGTAAAAAAAAAGTGCTCATTTGTTTGTTTGTTAATTTGTATGTATGTATGTGCTTGCATGTGTGAAGCGGACAAGCTCAAGTTTTTTTCAGTACCTAACTTCCACATGAGCACAGGAGGTAACTAGGGGTGGGGGGGGGTTGAATGCATTCGGAAATGTATTGCGTGGTCTATTTAAGCGCACACACACACACACACACACACACACACACACACACACACACACACACACACTCATACGTACAGCAGCCACGTTGTACATGGGCTAGTTTGTTCCTCTATAAAGGGATGTCTCTTGTTTCAAATTCTTGTGTGCGTGTTATAATGGGGCGGACCTTATTGTGATATTGCAAGTTCCACCGTAGGTTGTGATGACGAACTGTAGGCTGTGACGACGAACTGTGATGGTGAACTGTAGGCTGTGATGACGAACTGTAGGCCGTGGAGCACGAACTGTGATGGTGAACTGTAGGCTGTGATGACGAACTGTAGGCTGCGACGATGAACTGTGGTACGTGACGATGAACTGTAGGCTGTGACGATGAACTGTGATGACGAACTGTAACGCCCCTACAGTATATCTTTTACACGCGTCGTTTTGCTTGGGCTGAATCGCGGTGCTCTATGGTGCCCTCCTTGTTAAGTGAAGCGACTGTCTCCGGCTAACGACGTTGATGGATAGTTCTCTCTTAGTCATGAGGCACGTGATGAATAGTGGTTGGGATGAGGACTGGGGATGGCAGGGGTGAGAGACGGGGATAGTGGCTAGAGTGAGGGTACAGGGGGGTGGCTGGGGTGAGGGACAAGGGAGTGGCTTGGGTGAGGGACGGGGGGGGGGGATTAGAGTGAGGGATGGCGGATGGCTAGGTAACCTGACTGCTTCTTAAGATAACCTAAGTATTTCCAAACATAACGTGAACGTCTCCTGTGTTTCAGTGATCGACCGGACCAACTCTACCCGGGAGGCGGACCCGACTGGACAGATTTTCAAGCGTGGCCACGTTTACCACGGCGTCTACTTCCCTACCCTCACCAACAGGTAGATTATGGGGTAGATGTACTCTTAACAGGTATTGTGTGGTAGATGTACTCCAAACAGGTAGATTATGGGGTAGATGTACTCTTAACAGGTATTGTGTGGTAGATGTACTCCAAACAGGTAGATTATGGGGTAGATGTACTCTTAACAGGTATTGTGTGGTAGATGTACTCCCAACAGGTAGATTATGGGGTAGATGAGCTCTTAATAGGTAGATAAAGCTGGAAATGTACTCCCAACAGGTAGATATACAGGTAATATACTCCTAACACGTAGATATACAGGTAATATACTCCTAACAAATTGAATAAGTTCAGACTATCACAAAGTTCATCCTAACTTACAATCCTTAACGAAACACTAAATCTCAATGTTGATGCTCATGGGGGTAAATTATTCCCACCACACAGTCGGCGATAACCCCAGGTGGACGAACTGGCCAAGTTATTATGAAATCTTTATCCAAATACTTCATTATAATTTGTATTGAGATGAGAGAAAATTTATATATTATGAAGGAATAAAGGGAGGAAGGGAGAAGAGTCTATAATGAGTGTGGTAGTCTATAATGGGTGTGGTAGTCTATAATGGGTGTGGTAGTCTATAATGGGTGTGGTAGTCTATAATGAGTGTGGTAGTCTATAATGGGTGTGGTAGTCTATAATGGGTGTGGTAGTCTATAATGGGTGTGGTAGTCTATAATGGGTGTGGTAGTCTATAATGAGTGTGGTAGTCTATAATGGGTGTGGTAGTCTATAATGGGTGTGGTAGTCTATAATGGGTGTGGTAGTCTATAATGAGTGTGGTAGTCTATAATGGGTGTGGTAGTCTATAATGGGTGTGGTAGTCTATAATGGGTGTGGTAGTCTATAATGGGTGTGGTAGTCTATAATGGGTGTGTTAGTCTATACAGGGAGTATTTACCAGTCTAATTAAAGCGTTACCTCCCTAGGTGTCAACGTCACATAAGTCAGACAGGTTGAGACAATATATACCAGGTGATGGTTGGCAGGTGAGGTGGTCCCCTCTCTTAGCAGCTCCCAATCTAACCTGAGCATTAGGGATACGGGCCATTAACCCTCCGATCCAACTCTAATGGCTAAGTTAGAGTGTGATCGTGTATAGCTGGGTTCTCTTTCACACACACACACACACACACCTCTCTCTCTCTCTCATTCCCTCTTTCCTTCTCTTTCCGTGTACGTGTAACTCTCTCACACGTTCTCTCTCTCATGCAGCTTCAGGGACCAGCAGCTGGAGGTGGCGTTCCAGCGGTACTCTCACAGACAGCGGCAGAAGTCCCTCATCATGGTGAACGGGGTCGACCTCGCCCTCAAGCTCGTCCTTCTAGTCATCGTTCTCATCAGGAATGAGAACAACTCCCCTGCGGTGAGTCCCGAGGAGGAGGAGGAGGAGGAGGAAAGACGAGAGGCAGGGAGAAAAGAAATAAAGGAGGGAGAGGGGAGGAAAAGGGAGGAATGGGTAGAAGAGGGAGGAAAGGAAGTGGGCTGGGGGAGGAGGAAGAGGATGAGGAAGAGGAGGAAAGGAAAGGAAAGAGAAGAGGAGGTAGGAGCAAAACCATAAGTCTCCTTAAAAAAAACATCATAACATTCCTCTAAAAAACACTATAATTTTCATCCAAGAAACGCCACAATTTTCCCGTAAGACGCCACTCACCGACAGACAAAAACACCCCCACCCTCATGGAGTCCCACAACTAAACGAACAACCTCAGGGGGTCGCGGGAAGGGGCGGGTCTACGGGTTCCTCCCTTCCTCGCCACACTGAGAAGCAGAATAATTTCCCGTGGGAAGGCGTAGCAGGGCCGCCTCCTCCCTCCAGTGGTGTGATGCTCCATAAATATTCTTAAGTGAGACTTTTATCTGCTTTGCCCAACTCAAACTTAATGGTTAGATTTTTCTTTACTCGTCTTGGTGATTGTGTGTGTGTGTGTGTGTGTGTGTGTGTGTGTGTGTGTGTGTGTGTGTGTGTGTGTGTGTGTGTGTGTGTGTGTGTGTGTGTGTGTGTGTGTGTGTGTGTGTGTGTGTGTGTGTGTGTGTGTGTGTGTGTGTGTGTGTGTGTGTGTGTGTGTGTGTGTGTGTGTGTGTGTGTGTTACTCTCTCGATAACCTTAATATTTGGACAACATTTTCTTGTATGTGGTAATTGTGTACGGTACTTGTAAGAACATACTTTATATGTCCAAGTGAATTAGAACAAGCTTGCCTGATAGCTGTTCTCACCACCAAAACGTACAGCAGAGTATGTTACCCAGATGTTAAGACCAAGTTGAATTGTTTAAGAGTTTAGTGTAGGGAAACAGCCCGGAGGAGTGTTACCCTTCTGAGGAGTTTGCCCCGGCAACAAGACCACTCCTTTTAAAAGCATTAGTTGCAATAAGTCACCTTTTTAGTGGAATAAACTTAAACTACTTGTCACTCGTTCCTAAGGTAATTAAAACTCCAGTCAATAACTGTCATTGTTTGGCCTCTGACTGGATTACCTTTCATGCAGAAATAAAAATTTCTACATAATTTTTTTTTCATAAACAAAGGCTTCCCTCTATTCCTAATCCAAAATATCATTAAAAAATGTATAGCAAAACTATCAAACAAAAGACCTGTAAACATTGTTCCAGAAGATGTTCGGTATATTAAGTTCCTATTTTATATCCATACAGATTTTTTGGTATAAAACACTTGAAAAAAATCACAAAAGTTGTACAACCCTCAAGTACTGTACCAATGATTCACACGTGAGGAGACACACTACACCAGCAGGTCTCCTCCAGTGTACCTACAGTGCCTGTTGACGACTGTGGTGATGAGACAAACACGTCCGAAATAATGAGGTTATTGAAGAAGTTGTGTGTGTGTGTGTGTGTGTGTGTGTGTGTGTGTGTGTGTGTGTGTGTGTGTGTGTGTGTGTGTGTGTGTGTCGTACACTGACAGAGACAATATGGGCTCACCCTCTCAGCAGATACCCAACAGCTAACTGATGGTGGTGTTGGCCCTACAGGAGATCATCTACTCGGTGGGGTGGATGGTGGTGAACGTGATCCTGTGCGTGTTGTCGTGGTGGCGCTGCTTCGCTAACAACTACCTACACTGGGGCGCCCTGTGTACCTGGCTCGTCCTCAACATACAAGGTGAGTTACTATATCTGAACCTTAATTATTCGGTATGTCAGCTGATATTGAGGTTGTCATCAGGAGGAGGTGACAGAACAAGGTACAATAAAATGTAGCCACACTTATTGATGATGCCAACAGGACAACAGTTACCAGCGAGGGCTACATAGGCTAAGATTTGTTGTTATGTTACCCAACTCAGGGAACCATAAGTATAAGTTGGGCGGTAGAGGACGTTCATGTCCGGAATTATAAACGTAAATAAATATTAAAATAATGCTAATCTTTCCCTAAAGAGAAATAAAGGACAATGAGGAGATACTTTAATATTTTAAAATTTAATAGTCCATTAGAGGGTCAGGCCAACTACTGCCTCCTCCTCCTCCTCCTCCAGTTCTTCAGTTTCCCAACTATCAATGACCTTCCCCGAATACAAATTATTTTTCAACCCTTCTTTCACTATAAACGAAGGAGGAAGTGGGCGGGTAAAGGATGGGCGGTGTTACGATGGATCACGTGATGTCTAGTGCTGCAGGTGCCGTGTTGATTATGTCTGCCTCTAGTGATGCGGTAAAGTGGAGAGAAGAGTTATAATCAGGCTCACATTGTGTAAATTTAAAGATACGAATAAAAACTCTCATAGAATGAAATAAGAAAATTTACGTGAACGAAAGAAATAGTTATTCTTAAAATAATATGATCTTACGAAATGTATACTATAGAAAACGAAAAAAAAAATCCTACAAATTATTATGGCTATTATGTAGGAAACCTCACATGAAATATCGAAGTGTTTTAATAAAAGAGTCAATTAGTCGTTTATTGCAGGAATAGTTCCACGGGACTGAAAACTTGCGTATACCATACTTACAACTAGGAGAGCGATAAATGCTACTCGGTATTCTATCAGTAATTATCGACCTGTTAATCTTACTCCTGTGGCTAACTTGTGGAAGAAATCATTCGCGACAAACTTGTGAAACACTAAGATGGTCACCGCCTCAGTGATCACCCCCCAACGCGGCTCTTCAAGATATCGGTCGTGTTGATGAACCTCTAGCATTTATTTAGATCCTCTGGGTGCGTCAGTTGAT